ACTTAAAGAATTAGAAAGCTCTCCTGTGAAGCTGTCCGGACCTGGGCTTTTGTTTGCTGGGAGTCTTTTTTTATTGATGCTTCAANTTTTTTTTTAAATTACTGTTTTGATTTCATGGGTTGTTATTAGCTTATTCAGGTTTTCTGATTCTTCCTGATTCAGTTTTACATGATCTCACTCATATGTGGAATCTAATAAAATATACTGAGGAACAAAATAAACCCAGAGATATAGAAGCATGTAACAGACTGATGAATCTCAGTGGAAAGGTGGGGGGGAGGGGAGTGGGTGGGGATANTGCCAATGTTTTTGTCCATAGGTTATGCACATAAGCATATAAGTTCTTTGACTAATCTCTCCCCACCCACTCCCCCCTTTCCCTCTGAGGTCTCTCAGTCTGTTTCATGCTTCTATGTCTCTGACACCAGTCTTCTGATGTCACTACTCCATGACTAATTTAATAACTGGAAATTTGTGCTTCTTATTCTCTTTTCCCTTTTCTGCTCCTCCCTCCATCCTCTTCTCCTCTGGCAACTATCAATTTATTCTTTGTATCTATGAGTTTGCTTCAGTTCCATTTTGTTTGTTTTGTTTTTTAGATTCCACATATAAGTGAAGTCATTTGATATTTGTCTATCTTTGTCCAACATATTTTACTTAATCCCTAGGTCCATCCATGTAGTTTCATATGGCAAGAATCCATTTTTTTTTATATAGCTCATATCTTCTTTATCCATTCATGTACCAATGGACCCCTAGGTTGCTTCCATATCTTGCCTATTGTAAACATTGCTGCAGTAAACATAGGGATGCATATATCTTTATTTTTTTCTTTTCTATTTTATAATTTTTATTTTTGTTTAAAGTATTACAGATGTCCCTTTTTCTCCCCAATGACCCTTTCCCCCCGTTCCTTCCCCCTCCCCAGTCACTCTCCCCACCATTGTCCATGTCCTTGGGTTGTGCATATATGCATATAAATTCTTTGGTTACTCTCTCCCCCTCCACCCCTTCTCCCCTTTCCCTCTGACATTTTGTCAGTCTCAACTATGCTTCCATGTCATTGAATCTATTCTGCTCCTCAGTTTATTGAGCTCTTTGGATTCCACGTATAAGCAAGGTCATGTGATATTTGTCTTTCGCTGCCTGGCTTATTTCACTTAGCATAATACATATCTTTTTGAATTAGTGCTTTTGTCTTCTTAGAATCAATATCCAGAATTGGAATTGCTGGGTCATACTGTAGTTCTGTTTTAAATTTTTAGGTAATCTTCATACTGTTTTCCATTGTGGATGCACTAATTTACAATCCCACCAACAGAGCACAAGGTTTCCCTTCTCTTCATATCCTCACCAACACTTATTACTTATTGTCTTTTTGATAATTGCCATTCTGATGTGTGAGGGGATATCTCAATGTAGCTTTGATTTGCATTCCCCTGATGATTACTGATGTGGAGCATTTTTTCATGTGCCTTTAGAAAAATGTCTTCTTCTTACTTTTTAATTGGATTGTTTGTTCTTTTATGTTGAGTTGTATGACTTCTTTGTATACTTGTATATTAACCTCTTAGGAGATATATCAATTGCAAATATCTTCTCCCATCAATAGGTTGCTTTTTCTCAAGAGAACTAAATTGAAATTTGTCAATTCTGCTGTTAGTGTCTTTGGTGTAAGTTTCCATGATGTCTAACATTATCTTTTGATTTTCAAAGATCCATAATATCCATAACTTCCAAGGCCTCTATAACTATAGTGAATGTCAATATCTTGACTCATTTTTCTTTGTATCTATTTTAGTACCTAGCGACATGCTTGGCAAATAGTTAAGGGCTAAGCCAGTATTTGTTAACTTACTGATTTTATGAATATGTAGCTGTGTGTAAAGAAGACTGAATTTAAATTCAAAAGACTGGGGTTACTCTCTTGTTTCTTTTCCTTTTCGGATGGGTAACCTTGGACAATCACTTTAAGAAGAAAAATTATGCATATGTCACCTATAAACTGGGATTGGTTATCCTCAAGCTTTTTTTTTTTTTTTTTTTTGAGAATTAAATGAGAAAGTGTATAGAAGATCTTTGTAAATTATAAACCACCAAATTTAAGGTGTTATGATTAATCATTAGTGAATTTTGCTTTAATAGCATCTTAAATACTTAATCTTACTAGATAAATTTGCTAATGATTATTGGTTAATATAGGTAAATGTATGCATGGGTGTTTTCTGTAAGGTTAAAATATATCTTTTGGATTGCACTCTGTGCTAGTTGAAAAGATGCACAGGCTTTAAAAAGTGAGTCACATTACAATTCCAGGCTGCAATTCTTACCATCCAATAAAATTTAAACTCTGTAATTACAGCTAGTAGTGTACTGACCTAAAGGGTCAGACACAAACTAGAGACAATGGGAGAGAAATGGAGAAAAATAATATTAATACCCAATCAACAAACAAACAAACATGAAATTGATCAATTCCCACCAAAGGCCTGGATATTCCTGTTATCTGTTATTTATATTTCTCTGAATCTCTGCATTTGTTGCTTATGCTCCTGTGTAGAACAAGAAATTTTAAGAATTGACTGTTTGGAAAGCAAATAGAATTATAGAATGTCTAAATTGGAAGAATAGGGATCAAATTGTCAATGCAGCTCACTTATAGATGGGGAAGGGACTTGTTAAATGCTGCTCAATAATTTTTTAGCAGAATTATCAGGTTTCTGACTTTCAAGTTGTAGCTCTTTAAAAATGGAGCCTATTAAGCACTGTTTCAAAGAGTTCCATGTAAAAAAAGTCAATTTGCTGGGTTAGTTGTTAAGGATAAAGATTCTTGGGTTCCATCTCAGGTTTACTGAAACAGAATCTCAAAAGTAGTCCATGAGAACCTGCAATTTATCAAGCTCTATAATTGTAATACACACTGATGTTAAAAAGTACTGCTTACTTTAAGTATTTATACTAAGTTCACACATTAAAAAAATGCGTTTTCAAGCATTTAAAAGAAACAAAGTGGTAGTGTTAGTGGTGATGTTAGACCTCAGTTCTTCAACTGAGCAAAGAAAGAATTCATAGCCAACAACTCTAGCACAAGAAGTTCATTTAGACTTTTAGAAAGTCACAGAGGCAGAAGTGAGCCAGCTGGGCTGCATGGACTCAACAAACAAGTTACAGTGGCAAAAGAAGGGCCCTTACAGGTTCAGGGGTTTAGCCCTGGACGAGTTGCTGCTGCCCACTGCTCCTTGGTTTTAAGTCTCCTGGGAACTTTTAGGGCTTAGGAGAGAGAAAGCAAAGATATGCACCTTAGGAAAGAAGTGGGGGAAAGGCAGGGGCATGCTCTAGAGAGAGAGTATGTGCACTGGGTCCTCTGTCTTAAGGGGTCATCTGTTTGGTAAAGGCAGGAATTTTAGGAGAGGTCTGAGGGGAGGATCTCAATAGAATGTTAATCAGCTTTCTATGAGTATACTTTCAGGGTAGTGATCTCTACTGATTGGTTGCACTAAGGTAGGGGGTCATTAATCATTGCAGCTGGTCCTGATGTCAGCCATGTTGTTGCTTCTGGTTTTGCTGCTTTTCTGGGCCTGGAGCTGAAACATAATGGAAGCCTAGATGTTATCTCTAGTTTAAGCAAAACTCTGTCTCTATTGTCAACAAAAGTGAGGCTTTGTCCCTAAGATTTGATGCTGATCAGAACCTCATTGTCTTGAGGGCTTAAGGGAGTGGTCATGCAAGGGAGAAGGGGGCAGTTGAGGCAGGGTGCTGGATGAAGCCAGTTTGGATCAGCTGTCTCAGTTTCCCCGTATCACATGTCAAGGAATTTTCCTGGCTTCTTACTATCATGCCTCAGTAGTGGATCTAAAATGCTATCAGAATCCCCTTGGTAACTCTACAGTGTAGGGTTGAACCAAAACAGATATGGAAAACTCTAGCAGTCAAGCACACTTGGGAAGCTGCAACTTGTTGAGCAGTCTAGTAAAGGGCAGGTTCTTGGGCAGCCTGCTAGGCATATTTTAATTCCTCTTTTGGTTATGTGGGGGCTAAAATATATTAATACTATTCCTCCCACCTTCTAAGTTCTTCTGGCTGGGTTAATAATCAAATTAACAGACAGATTGACAGGAGAAAATCAAAGTTTAATACATCACATGGGGGGTTCACATAGACATAATAAATCCATAAAAATTTCAAAGACAGTGAGGCAACATTGGGTATATAAGACATTTTGGACAAAGGAGAAAAGGGGGGAACAGGGCATTAGATTTCAGAAGTGAGAATAGGGGGTTTCCAGGTAGTTGAGGAAGAGCAGAATACATATAGCAAAAACATCCTAGCTAGGTAACAGAAACATTGGGACACAGGGGATATCTTGCTAACACGCCCTGCCTGAAGCCCTCTTGTTTATCATAATTAATTCAAATTAGGCTAAAGGGAGCATCTTAAGTCCTAAATTCTATTTCCTGAAGCAGGTTCTCTGTCTGAATTTCTTGGGCAGGTTCTTTCTGAGTCTTTTGTTTTTTAATAAACAGCTTAAAATCAATATCCCGAAAAGCAGCTTCAGGGTGGCAGAACTTTGGTTTCTTCAGTTACACAGAAAAGCTAACTGAAGATGCAGTTACTGAAATATAGTCTCTGCCAAGAAACAAATTCTGAAAACATGGGCATTGTGTGTGTCGTCATTTTATCACCCTCTACCCCTAGTTTTTCGCGGCTCTACCACTCACCCAAAGTTCTGCATACAGAATACCTAGGGGCTTCCAGAAGATCCTGCAACTAAGCGTCCCTAGCCTCAAAGGATCTGCCTCCCTAGGTGTGGGAACTCATACCGCTGGAGTGACTCAAAGGGTTAACAAACAGTGCTCTGCAGAGTGGCAGGGAGAGAAGCCAATAGAGTGTCTAGTCAGTCTGTACATCTGGTGGGGTGGGCTGGGAAGGGGCGTGGCCAAAGGGAACCAAAGGAAGCTTAGGGGGTGAGAGGGCAGCAGAATCTAGAGGTTCCGAGGAAGCTGGGGCGATTAGGAGAGCACGTGAGCATCCAACCCTTTCTTCCAGCTCTCTTTTATCTTAGGGGTTGGTAGGTGCGGGGACAGCCCGGGGTCGGTGTATGGCCACGGAGTTACGGTGTCCGGACTCCATGCCCTGTCGCAACCAACAAGTAAACTCTGCCTCTACCCCAAGCCCCGAGCCGCCGCGACCTGGCGACCTGATCCCGGATAATGTCGGGGGAAACAGCGTCTCCAAGGCCAAGCCGACTCCCCTCACCAGTCGTGCCCATTCTAGCGTTTCGGGGGAAGGGAGCCCTCAGGCCTGCGGTGCCGCCAGCCTCAACTCTGAGAGCAGCCATGGCAGTGGCGACTACGACGCGTCGTCAGGCGACTCCCTCCCAAGGGACTTCCAACTCTCCTGGCAGATTGGGGCTCAGCTTAAGCTGCTACCCATGAATGAGCAGATCCGGGAGCTGCAGACCATCATCCGGGACAAGTGAGCCAAGAGCTGAAGGGGAATGGGAGTTGGAGGGTCTCTCTGGAGGTGGGTGGGAATTAGAAGTAAAAGGGCTAAGGGGTAATTTTCTTGGCCTGCGGAAACTGGTTTGTGGAGATCTGGGAGGGTTTTTTCTTTGAAAGGAAGTATCTCGTGACTCATACCTCCCACCCTCTTCTTCCTCTTTTAACCTCGCTTTGTGTTCCAGCGGAATGAAACCTTGTAGGTAGCCTCCGGCTTCCTCTTTGTCTTTTCTGAGCAATGGAGAATCCTAAGACATTCCAAGCTGGTAAACGCGCCTATACTGCTCGTCTGGTACCTATCTACGTGGTAAATCTATACTACCCAAGGTTATACTCCGCCTGCAATCACCTCAGGCTCACAAATAGAAGTAAAGCAATTTCAAGGAAATTCTGTTGTGCTCAACAGGCCATCTGTCCCTTTGGTGTTTGCTATTGCTGTTATCATTTGTCTAAGGTCTTTTAGTCTTGGAGTTGAGGTTTACTTGGTCACGTGCAAGCCTGTCATCCAACTCAGGGTTGTTTTATTGTAAACTTCTAGAGCATCAACTGTTTCCTGTATAGTTAATGGAGGAAAGGGAGCCTAAAGGAGCCTTTGACGCTCTTCCTAATCCCACAAGCTAAGGTAGCAAAAACTTCATGTTAAATGCTATTTTAGGATCTCAAAATTTATGCTGTAGATGGGATTTCTCAAGGGATATATGTATCATGATGGAACTGTAGCTGGCTTCTATATTGGCAGCACTTTAAATGAGTTCCTTCAATCTAATTTTTTGGTGGATGCTTTGATCTTTTAAAATGACTACTGACTCAGGATGCCACTCCCTAAATCATACTAATAACTTTTTTTCCATACTATTGTAATAAGCCTAATTTGTTTCCCTGATCCAATTTTTCTCTCTTCCACATTCACCCACACATTAATGAACAATCAATCCTATTAATATACCGCTTTGATTAGGTAACTGCCCTACTTAGCATCTCTCTTTAGCTTCCCAGAGCCTACCATATAAAATCCTGCTTCTGCTCTCATCTGAAATTCTTTTTACTCCTCTGTATGTTCAAATCCTACTTATTCTTAAGGTCAACCCAGCATTAAATGTCCCCCTCTGCCAAAAAGCTTTTCTTTAATCATTCTTCCTCTGCTGATCTTCCCTGGCCTTTTTAGTGCATGATTCACCTTCTGTTTTGTATATTGTTATTTGTGTACTGATCTTATCTCACTTATTAGATTTTAAGCTCCTTGAGGACAAAAAAATGTATCTTTTACATATTTGAATTCCTATCATTCCGATCATTCCAATCGTGCCTTGCAAATAATAGATACTCAATTAATAAAAGTTCTTTCTAAAGCTCTTAAAAATTGTAGTTATGAAACTACACTATTTAACTGCTTTTTAATGAATCCATACTGTAAACCACTGTGGTCATGTCATCTAATAGGTGAAGTAGTAATCTTTTTTTTTTTTTTTTTTTAATCTTTGCCTGAGGATATTTTTTCCATTGCTTTTCAGAGAGAGTGGAAGGGGGAGAGAGAAAGAGAAGGGGAGAGAGGGAGAGGAGGAGAGAAACATCGATGTGAGAGATACATTGATTGTTTGCCTCCTGCACATGCCTCAACCGGGCCAGGGATCAAGCCTGCAACTGAGGTATGTGCCCTTGGCTGGAATGGAACCCAGGACCCTTAAGTCCACAGGCCGACACTAACCACTGAGCAAAACTGGCTAGGGCTGAAGTAGTGATCTTAAAATGTAGCAAGCATAGGCTTGGTAGTTGTGAGGGAAGCTGAAATAAAATTAACTATAAAACAAAGAAATAGGATGATGGTTCTTGTTTCTGATAGAGCAAGAGTTGCTGACCTTGAGTCTTGACTCCCTCTGTACCTGCAGATGGGCTTAGGTGCTTTAGCAAACCTTCAGAAATTATCTGGAAAATGTTATTTTTAATGTGCATTTTTAATAGTTGTTTTTTAAATAACATCTTTATTGATATATAATTCACATACCATATAATATGCTGTTTAAAGTGTACAATTCAGTGGCTTTTTAGTATAATCATGGCTGTTCAATCATCACACAATCAATTTTAGAACATTGTTATCACTCCAGCAAGAAACCCCATACTCATTAGCAGCCAGTCCCCATTTCCCCTCAGCCCATCCAAAACCTTAGAGTACTTTCTGTCTCTATTGATTTGCCTGTTCTGGACATTTCATACAAGTGGAATCATACAATATGTGGTGTTTTGTGACTAGTTCTTTTTTGTTGTTGTTGTTTAGCATACTGTTTTCAAGGTTTATTCATGTTGTATCAGTACCCCATTCCTTTTTTGGCTGAATGATATTCCATGGTATGGATATACCACATTTTTTATCCATTCATCAAGTGATGAACATTTGGGTGGTTTCTACTCGCTGGTTATTATGAATAACGCTGCTATGAACATTTGCATATATGCTTTTTTTATGGGGAAAGGGTTCCTTAGATTTCATTATATTTTACATGACAATGTAAGAGTAAACCCATGCTGTAGAACTTGGAGAGGGTATGACATTCAGCATTCATATATGACAATATCAATACCTGATTTTATTGCATTACTTAGAAAAGCCTGGGTGGTATGGTCAACCTGGGTATAAGTGAAATCATTTTTTTTTTTTCTGAGTGTGGAAGGAGACATGGGGATCCACAGTGATCTTAGGCAAAATGTTTAGCATCTTTGTGGTTCAACTTTATCATTTGTAAAATGAGGATGTTGGCAGTATCTCACGAAGCTCCTGGGAGGCCAAAACAAGATACTTTACTGTCAGAATATTTGTTATAAACAATGAAGAACTGTGCGCATTGAAGGCATTTCAAGCCTTCATGTTTGGATTTGTGCATGGTTCTGATTGCATCCATAAGTGCTGGTTTCTTGAGTGTCCAGAAGATAATAAAATAATTTAAATCGTACATACAACTTACATTGTTATTTTAAAAACACTGAGAGATTCTAGATAGTTTTTATCATGCTATGATATAGTATGGAAAGACTCACTGGTTTTTGTTAACTGATGCTTAGTTATTTAGGCTGGAAACAGTGTTTTAGTTTTGTATTTGTTAATCAAATCTGTTAACAGAGGCCTCTTTTGCTTTTATCTTTAAAAATTGGCATCCACCCCCACAAAAAAGACCTGTTCCATCCCCTTTAGGGGCTTGTAAAGGGTGCCTATGGTAAGAGGAACTATATTTATGTAGGGCTAGTTATGGAAGGTGCCATCACTTAATCATATCCTGTCTTCCTCAGGGCTTTATACTCTTCTCTATTTTGGTGTGACATCATATATGTGCATGTATATGGGGCTGTCTGATAATAGAAGACATTGGAGGACTAGTTATTTCTTTTATTGTTTTTGATCTTTAGTGTCTGTCTAGTGAAGGGATTGCTTTCTGAATTGAGTTTGCCATGGGGAAATGGGGGTTGAGTCAGCAGGACTGCATGTTTCTGTAACTATATAAAGCAGGCAAGATTGAGAAAATTGGACTGATTTAAAAAATTTTTGTTTTTTTTTAAATGTGCAATATTTGAAACATAGTATATTGGTTCTATTGTGGAATTTCAAGGAAATGGTTTACTCTCACTGAGAATGGAGTAATCTAAAAACATCAATGGTCAGATAATTTACTCAGTCATACATGGGTCACACAAGAGAAATGACTCCTTCATTTCCAGTTTCTATTGTTGCAATGGAATAAACCACATATACTTCTCCTGCTGCCACCTTTATGTCCTAAACACAATAAAATCTGAGTGTAGTGCACTTATCCCTTATTGTTCATGACCTCTTATTTAAGGCAACGCAGTGTATTTAAAAGATCATCTTCCCGTTTTTTTTGTTGTTGTTGTTTTGTTTTGTCTCCTGAAACATTAAAGTAAAGCTGTTTCATGAGCTGTCAAATATTTGAATATTTCCTGTATACTTGTTCTCAAAGAGAGTTTGCCATGGCCTCAGTTTGAAGCTTGTATGAAAGTTGAACAATCTTAGCAATTTTAGTCCATGAACTAGCACTAAAGAAAGAGTGCATTCAGTCTTGTGACTTTTTTTCAGTCCCCTAGAGCAGAGAAAATTAACCTTAGGATGGATGAACATCCTGTGCAGCCCTAATGTGAGTACAGTCTAATGTGATCTGAGTCATCTGACTAGGTAATGTAATATTTTTAACCAAAGCTGTGCATCTGAATTGCCTGGGGAGTCCTTTTTTTCCTCTCAGTTTTTACTTCCCATTCTTAAGAGTAGTCTTGGATGGAACCTGAGCATCTATAGCTTTACAAACAGGGGTGATTATGTGGCATTCAGGCTGGGCCACTGCCCTGTGTGTAGTGGTATGCCTGGCTTCACTTCAGATTTGGGAAATAGGCTGAGCCAGGGATTCCACACACGAAACAAACTAGCCTAGAGAGCCTGGCATCTCCCTGAGAATGGAGAAATCTCAGAACTTTTCCCTTCAACTTGTACAAAACCAGAATATCCACCACAGAAAAAACACCTGTCACCTGCAAATTGTTTAAAACATGGACAAGTTTTTGGTTTCCTTGGGTATTTCATGTGGATTTTCTTACTGTTTCTAAGATAGGAGGGAGGAAGTCACTATTCTAACTATACATACTTCTGTTATAATATTTATTGGGCATATTTTAATAATGTTTTGGGAGCAAGTCTGGACCCCAAAGAGGCAGAAAGAAGGTCTGGCCTCTCACAGTACCTGGCACATAGGGGCATTAATGTTGCAAACATTATAAAAAATAAACTTCTGAATGACTGAATCCTGGATTCTAAGGGAAAATGATAGTTTCTCTTTATTTTTTTACCTGATTTTGAATATGTATATTGAACTTTGCTTTGAGGTACAAGGAAATAATTAATGACACTATTTTTTTATTAAATTTATTGGGGTAACTGGTTAATATGAACATATAGGTTTCAGGTGTGGCTTTCTATGT